CCTTCATGGAGTGTGTACACACACACACACACACACACACACACACACACACACATAAAGTATAATTTGGAAATTAAAAAAATGAGACCATTAAACACCAACAATGAGCCCGGTGGTGTTGGCACACACCTTTAATCCCAGCACTCAGGAGGCAGAGGCAGGTGGATCTATGTGAGTTCAAGGCCACCCTACTTCCAGGACAGCAAGAACTACACAGAGAAACCCTGGCTCAAAAAAACAAAAATGAATAAAATAAACCAACCATCAATAAAGCTAAAGATTTACTAGATGGTCAGGCTAAAAACAAAGTAATTGTGTTGTTAATTTAGCTTAAGTAAGTCTATGTGTGTGGGCACCAATATTTGTAATAAAATACCTCAGAACTACAAGGAAGGAGGCGATTAACAGCAACAGGAAGGGTAGTGTCACACTGGTCAGCAGGAATTGCCATTGTGATATTTATAGACAGCAGACGAGGTGACATATGGATGAATGAGATTCCAGCCAGGGGCATTGAAGGCAAAGCCTCAGGGCTCAGGCCTTTTTACTATGCCTAGTGCTATGGACCTTCAGGCCTCCTAAGCAGAGGAAAAGGCCTGGACCATCATTCACATCTCACGGGGGAGGGGACCAGAGCCAGGGGAAGAGGGGTTGTGCAGCCTCATGGTGAGATCCAGTCCACCACTCCTGCTGTAGCCACACATCTCCCACCTCCACGGAGGGCCATTTCAACCCTTGAGTGACATAGCTTCTATCCGTTTTAATTTATTCTCTTGCATCCCACACCACTCTGAGTCCTTTGGTCAAGTGCATCCATTCAAGACGCCCCCACCCCCACCCCCCAGCATTCCTGTCTAGCAGAAGCAAGGAAGCCTCAAGCTCCTTCCAGTACGCTATGTGAACTCAACCCTGCAAGGCAGATCAGAGGCACTGCTGCAAGATCTAGCTTTTAGTTCAGCCCTCTCACTGTGCATGGAAGAGACCCCACTTCTTGCAACCCAAGCACAGCCTGTCTGCATAGCTCCCTCCCACAACAGGAGGTTCACATTTCCAGAGAGACAGATGGGGCTCAGGTAGGCAGAACACCTGTGTGTGAGCCTGTGTCCTGTCTCATCATGTCTAAGTTGCCTGTAGTTTGACCAGAGTATACTAGAAGCCAGCCATTTCTTAGGGAGATTGGCACCAACCTCATGGAATGTTCAGGAAGTTCCCAGCTCTGCTCTTAAAACCAAGCCCAATGTGGTCCTCAGTAAGATGTTGCAAGTTCCTAAACTGGACACAGAGGCCAAGAGCTGTGTGGCCTGGAAATTAGAGCTGGCTATTACCCATCAACACAGACACCCTGAGTCAGCCTTCCTCTTCCCTCTGCTAAGGTTGTCAGAGCCTCAGCAATGCTCCTGCCCTAGGGAAGCCCAGCTGCCACCTCTCTGAGTGACTTAATAGCTGTGAGTGATTCCCTGGGCAGAGTGGGTGGGGCCTACCATGTTCCCATTACACACCATTTCACCTGATGCAACTGCTTTCGGAAGACACTGCCATGAAAGAAGCACATTGCAACAGCATGCTGTAATACCTATCCCACCAGCATCTCTACCACACCGCATGGATACACTGCACTCTGCTGGAAGTGTCCCTCATCAGGACTGCTGGAAGCCTTTAAAATATTTGTCGGGGCCAATGGGATAGCTCAGCATATGAAGGCATTTGCCACTAAGCCTGACTACCTGAGTTCAGTCCCCAGGTCCTACATGGGGGAAGGGGAAAACCATTCCCTCAAATTATCATATGACTTCCACGTACGTGCCCTAGCATGCATTCCCCTTGCATGCATGCAAAACTAAATGTAAAACAAAGGAATTTTTCTTATTTCTGTGTATGTGTGTGTTCATGTATACCATGTGTGTGTGCACACAGGTGCCCATGGAATTTAAAGGAGTGCCTCGGATCCCCTGGAACTGGAGTTATAAGCAGTCAAACCTGGGCCCTCTGCAGGAGTAGGAAATGCTCTTACCTGCTGAGCCATCTTTCGAGCTCTGACTTGAGGCATCTCAGTGGCTTGGCTTCTTCAGTATATTTGAAACTTCTGGTGCCTGGATCTCTCCCTGACCCCAAAGATTCCAAAGAGATTGATGTGAGTTAAAATAAATAAATACAAAGTTTGTATTAAAGGATGACATAAACAACAACAAAAAAGCACAAGGCATATATATAAATCGATCTTATTTCCTCAAGTGAACTCAGCCTTTTGAGTAACCAGCATTTGAGATGACTATCACCAGTATCCCTTGTTACCAGTCATAACTGTGGTCTGCGTCAGGCATGTTAATGGAGTCACAGCTGGATACAGCAGCTCCCCCACCCCAATCCCAGCACTTGGGAGCTAGGAGCAGTAAGATCACTGTAAACCAGGCTGGCCTAGAACTCAGGAAATCCACCTGCCTCTGCCTCCCTAGTAATGGGATTAAAGGCATACGCCACCACTACCCAGCTGGTCAGCATTATAACAGGAAAAAGTATCTACTGCATAGAGAGTTCGAGGTCAGCCTAGGCTCCATTAGCTCTACCTCAAAAAACAAAACAAACAAACAAACAAACAAGAAACCATAATGGATAAGTCATTGACTCAAACAGGATCTATCTTTTGTTTCTGGCTCCTTCTGCTCCGTGACAAGTTTGTGAGATGACTCATCCAAGTTGTTGCCTATTATTGTTATGACTTGTTCAAACAATTTTTTTTTTAAAGTTTTTGGACAGGGGCTCACCGAGTAACCCAGACCGGATATAAACTCACAGAGATCTATCTGCCTTTGCCTCCTGAGTGCTGGGATTAAAAGGCATGTGCCACCACACCCAGCTGCTTTGTTCAATCTTAAACCACGAGTTGCACTCAGTGGCTCTCTATCCCTCAGTTTATCTGATCTTTCTACAGCTGAGAGGTGTTACTGGGTGGATGTTCTGGTGTGGTTGGTCATCAAGGGCATGTATGTGTCTGTTGCGTATATGCTTGAAAGTAGAATCATACTCCCCCCACCTGTGTGTGTGGAGAGTTCATCACATCTTTGCCAACAGTTGGTTTTTCTGATTTTTTTTTTCATGTTTCCTGGTCTAGTGGGTGTGCAGTGGTATCATAATCACAATGTGGTTTTAATTTGCATTTCCCTGGTGACTAATGTAGTTGAATACCTTTTTGTATGCCAGTAGCCATTTAGAACTCTCTGGAAATAATCTGTTGAAATATCTGGATATGAACAACTCTCTTCCTTTTTGAGACAGGGTCTTATGTAGCCCAGGCTAGCCTTCAAACTTGATACATAGCCAAGATTGACCTAGAACTCCTGATCCTCCTGCCTCCGCTCTCCAAGTGCTGGTAGGTATCACAGGTGTCAGCCACCACACCCAGTTTTTCTGCAGTGCTGAGGAATGAAACACAGACAGGGCTTTGTGCTTGCCCAGCAATCACTCTCCCAGCTTGAGCTACATCCCCAGCCATGATCTGAGCATATTTCTGAAAGTCCTTAGCTAACTCTAGTGTGCAGCCAAGGTTGAAAACCACCCAACTAAACCAGAAATGCGTGCCCTCTTCCCTGTGTGGGTCTCATTCCCTACTCCTGGGTTAGAAAGACTCTCACAGAATTGAGAAAGGTGATCTTCACTCCCCCACTAGATGCCCAACCCAGAGAGAAGCAAGAGAGTGGAGCTAACAGTTGAAGATTTTAGGAATGTGACCTCCACTTCAGAAGGGCTTGGGGGTAGGGCTTGAGGCAGGCACAGCTACCACAGACATTTCCTGACCACAAAAATGACCCCTTGCTGGTCCTTATGGAGCCTCAGGCAATTGTGGAGAGGAAGTAGAGGGCACCATGCCAGGTACTTCCCAGTTTCTAGCATGAATGAATGGGTCCCAGCTCATGTCTGAGGTTGTGGTCAAGCTGGGGACAGTAGAGCATGTGTTCCAGAGACTGAGAGAGGCCTGCTGCTGCCTGTGGCCTTTGTGCTGGACACCAGATCAGCTGATAGGACTCTCCCATGTGGGTTCCAGTTGCTTCCCTCATCTGGAATGGCTTCCATCCCTGGTTCTTGGGCCTTTTTAATCTCTCCTTAACCCCAGGCCTCTGACTTCTGCAGCACTCAAAGTGAGAACACACAGTGTGGCTTCCGGTGACATGCTGCCTTGATTGGGTCCTTCTTATCATCTATGCTCACCTCCCATGGCCTGTGAACTGTAACCTCATCCCAGGGACTTCAGGGTACTTCCTTACTCCCCATGGTAACTTGGTCCATACATAGACAAGAGCTAGGCATGGTCAAGCTGATTGCCCTGTGTGGGATCCATGGTAGCACCATGCCATACTGGTTAGGCAGGAGCTCTTCCATTGAGTCAGAAGTTGGTCCCCAGGACCAAGGCTGGCATGTGGATGTCTGGACGAGGCGTGCACAAAGGCCCCCCAGACACAGAGCAGTAGGTTCCAAGTACCCCACTGGAGCTTGCCACAGTGCCTGGAACTCAGGGTTCTCTCTCTACATGCCCTTGGAGAAGAACAGGGGCTGCCTTCTCTTCCTTGAAGCCTGGCCAGCTACACACTATTATGTGAGGCACAAATTGACATGTTAGAGGCTAAGTCACGGAACCACTCCGGCCTCTGCTTCATGCCATGTCCCACAGATACATACCTATTGTGGGAATTCTGTCAGCCAATAGTCTTTGAGGTACAAGACCCTTCGGGGCAGGGCTCAGAGGCTCCATGAGGACTTGGGAGAAGCACCTGCGCTCTCTTGGGTGGTGTGGGGGAGGTGGATGGTAACATCCAGCAGCTAACAGCAGAAGGCCTCAGCGGTTCTCTACCTTGCTTTGTCATTTGTGAGTGATTCCCCAGTAAGTACCTGACTTCCCTTTATCCGGGCTTTCATGGACTCTATTACAATTGTCCATTACAACCCATCTGGGAAACTTCTAGAAGTAGAGTACTCTGTATCTGATCATCCAAGTGCAGATGTTAGGGTTCTCTTGACTGGCCTAAATGGTCTGCAGTGGCCAGTGACTGGAGTGCTTCCTGACCCAGGAAGGCAGGAACCCATTCCCACCACCTTTGTAGGAAGCTTCTGATCTTCATCTTCCCACTAGCACATCAGCGTATTCTGTCTTCACCGTATTCACCATCTAAGCTTCATAAAAAAGCAAGCTCCCTTTCACTTCAGGGGTCCACACACCCATAGCAATCATGCCCTTCCATCCTCTCAGACCACGCCTACAACGGCTCCTACCCTACAGGCTCCTGACATGCAGTCCTTGATGTGCATGTCTCCACTGTCTGCAAGGTGCTTCCTGCATTCCACCTTCCCCATCAAGTAGACAGTGTTAGTTACTAAAAGGGATGGGGATTTTGTTCTAATAGATTTGGATTGGTGAGAAAATAATTCAGATGAGGGACATGTAAATAAAGTCCATAACAAGATGCTACTTCACAGTTTTCAGAATGGTTGTCATCAACAAACAAAACAAAAAACAAGTGCTGGCAAGAAATACGAAGTCTTGTGCATGTTAATGAGAATGTGGAATGGTGTGGCCGTGATGGAAAGCACAATGATAGGTCTTAAGGAGAGCAAGAGAGGGTGACAGTGGGTGATGAAGAGGGCTGGGAAGGGGCAAAAAGACACCTGGAACATAGACGAGGAAAGAGTCATGGAGGCTACTAGGGAGAGTCAGGCATGGGAATATATGGGAGGGAGAATCACTAAGACCCTTTGTTTGTGTCTGTCTTCACTGTTCTATTGCTGTGAAGAGACACCACAATCAAGGCAACTTATAAAAGAAAGCATTTAATTGGAGGCTCGTTTACAGTGAGTCCATGGCCATCACGGCAAGCAGCAAGGCAGTAAGCAGGTAGGCATGGCACTGAAGCAGCCTATCTCCTATCCACAAGTCGGAGGAAGGGAGAGAGAAACAGACACAGAGACTGGGCCCTTTTGAAACCTAGCTCCCAGTGACAAGGCCACACCTCTTTGTTGTAGAATGTTAACGATGTGTCACATCTGTTTATGCTGTGGAATATTTGTTCAATGACAGAGAGATGTGTTGCATTTAGCTGGGCATTGGTGGCACACGCCTTTAATCCCAGCACTGGGGAGGGGGGTGGTAGAGGCAGGTGGATCTCCGTGAGACCAGCCTGGTCTACAAGAGCTAGGTCCAGGATAGCCTCCAAAGCCACAGAGAAACCCTGTCTCAAAAAACGAAAAGAAAAATGAAAAAAAGAAAAGCTGGCAAGAAACAAGGCCAGGCATTCATTAGAAAGAATTAAGCCTCTGTGTAATTTATTTGGGAGCTGGGTGGTGGGCCCCCAAAGAGTAAAGAACAAAAACCAAAGAGTAAAAAAGAAACAACTATACTCCTAGTCCTTAAACAGACCACCAACTTGGAACCAAACATCCAAATATATGAGCCTGTGGGGGTCTCTCATTCAAACCGTCACAGTATCTAGTACCTTATGTAACAAGAGCTTCCTGCCTGGTTCTACAGCTGCCTTGCCTCAAATGAACACGCGGATGCTATATTAATTATGAAACTGTTGGCCAATGACTAGACTGTCTTAATTATTAACCCATTTCTGTTAATCTAAGTATTTCCATGTGGTCTTATCCTACCAGAGGGGGGTCTGGTGCATCCTACTTTCCCAGTCTCACATGGCATCTGCTCCCTGCCTCCACTTTCCAAACAGAATTCTCCTCCTCTTGTAGCCCCGCCTATCTTTCCTGCCTGGCCACTAGCCACACAGTGTTTTATTAATCAACCAATAAGAGAAACATATACACAGAAGGAAAATCCCATCAACCTTACATATTAATATTAATAATAACTACCATAGAGTCCAGCACCTCTGCTTCTATCAGTGTAGCCAAAAGAAATGAAAGCAGGGGCTGAAGAAATTTTTGTTGTATTTGTCAGTTTGCCATCACTATAACAAAACACCTGAGGTAAATCAACCTTAAAAAGACCATTCGGCTCAGGGTTTTAGAGGCTTCAGCCCCCATGGTCGTCCCCACCTTTGCCCTTGGGCCTGGGATGAAGTAGAACATATGTACCTGGGGAAGCAGATGGATTAAGAGCAGCCAGAGTCCCAACATCTCCTTCATGGGCGCATACATTCCGAGTGACCTTTCTTCCACTAGTCCCCACCTTAATGTCTCATCACCTCTCAGTGGTACCTT